GGAAGGGCACTCCTGGGAACAAAGCATTAATTCACAAAGGCATGGGGTATGGCCAAGCCAGAGCAGGAAGTGGGATGAGCGGAGGTGAGGACGGAGGAGCTGGCAGCAGATCGTGACCTGCCTGGGAGCCCTGGAGGGTGGGACAGTGTGGACCAGTGGAGGCTGCACAGCCACAGGACACTGAGTTGGGAGCCCCTCCCCCATGACTGTCCTCCCCCACAGCCTCCGCAGTGCTGAGCCAGGGCCTGGCGGGGAGTGTTGCTGGAATGAAAAATAAATGGCCCAGTCTGGTACAGCTGGAGATGGAGGCCAGGACTGTGATGTGACCATTCCCCCACCTCAATAGGGAATATGGCAGGAATGTCCCTCTGGGGTTCTCTGCAGTCCCCAAGGCCCTCCCCTGGAGGCTGAGTCTCCAGAGTTGTGGAGGCTTCATGGGATTGGTGGGCTTCTAGGCAGGTCCAGCTGTCAACGCCTGGTCTACAGATTTCCCTGTCAACCTTGCATCAGGTGGTAAGAGGGAGTTCATATCCTGTTTCCTTTTTCTCCTTGGCTGCCAGGCAGCTCTGGGCACGTTTTGTGCTCAGGTATAAGGCAGAATGTCTTTAACCAAGCGTCTGGGCCAGCACCCCATCTCTGCTTGACATGGCTTGATTCCTTATTGGGACCATAAAGACACTATTGTACCCAAGGCTTTTCCTGAGAGCAGCCACAAACCGTCTTGGCAGTAGAGAAAGGCATTTTTGATCCCCAGAGCTTTATTTGGCCCAGAGTTTGCAGTTGATTCTGCTTCCCAGGCAGATCTCAGCGGGGTGGCACTGAGCCCCTGGAGTAGAGGCCCCGGTCCAGGCTGGAGACACTGGGCAGCCCATTTCCACTGGCAGGTCAGGCAGGGCATGGCCCAGGGAGCCTGTCAGGGCCCAGCCTCTCCATCCTCCTCCACTGCCCGCTGCAGTTCATGCCCTCCGCGGGCCTGCCAGGACACAGAGCATGCTGACCCTCGGGAGTGGAAGCCAGGTGTCCCCTGGCCACTCAAGGTGGACCCCGTGGGAGGACAATGGGGACCTCAGGATGGAAAAGCATCCCCTGGGTCTTGGAGACCTGAGTCTCTCCCTCCTCTGCTCCTCAGCTCTGGGGACCCTCCTGTCTTTGTCAGCCCCCACCCCACATCCATATCACGGTTCTCAGATCCCCCCTGGCACATAGCGGAGGCCGCCCATGCCTGCCCAGGGATGGCAGGGTCATCTGTATTTAGGGGTGCCCGTGGCACTCCACACAGGGTCCTGGGGCTGTTCCTCCCCCGCCCCTTGCACGTGGGGCCACCATGGGCTGACGGGAGGTGGGGACTTGGCTCATGGAAAGGCCGCGGCTGTCCAACCAGACTCGAGATGGGCCCGCAGGCGCTGCACTGGAATATTTGAGCCCTGCCGATGGATGTGATATAAAAATACAGCCGGCTGCCAGCACAGCCGGGAAGGGCGGCTTCCTCGCCAGCAAGTGCCACGGCAACGTGTTCCCCCCCCTGCAGCCCCCACCCCCGGAGTCGGGGGCAGGATTCAAAGCCTGGAGCTGCTTCTGTGAAGTACTAAGACTGTCTGCACCCAGGAGTGTTTCCTTCTGAATTCCACACCGAGCTGCAGTGGAAGATTTGGATTCTTTCTTTTCCCCACTTTCCTACCAACTCGGGCATGGGATTAAAAAACAGGAGTTCAGGAAAACACATGCATGTCTATGTATATCTGGGGGAACTGCATCTGTGACAGGCTTGGGCCAGGCGCACATGAACCCTGAGCGGGTCGGCGTTCGAGCCAGCACCCTCCACGCAGGCCAAGCCCTCCTCCATCTGATGGTGGCTGCTTTATTTTATTTTGCCTGAAATCTCCCGAGAGCCCAACGGAGAACGCTGAACACGGGGAAGTGATGGAAGATGCTGCTCTGTGGCCTGGCACAGGGACACGCCCCATGCTACCCACGACCCTGGCTTGGGACCACATGGGCTCAGAGCCCAGGCTCTCTGCAGAGGGACCCTTCTGGGTCCACGGTGTGCTCTGCCCCCTCACCCTTAGGGGTCCCTGGCCGCATAGTCACCTCGGCCTCAGTTTCCTCAACCACGGACAGGGGTTGTCATCAGACCACTCCGGCTCCATGAAGTCGGCATGAAGAGGTGAGGCAGGCCCAGGCCTCGTCCGTGGAGAGGAGAGCTGTGGCGGAAAGGTGGGCAGAGGGGAGGACCCTGCTCTGACTGAGCACCAAGAAGTCCCCTCGGCGGGTGGTTCCCGTACTGGGTTTGGGGGCACTCGGGGCTCATGATACCCTCAGGGTGGGTGTCAGTGCCTCCATCATGGATGAAGACACCAGGACTCAGCGCAAGGTGTCACATGTCCCTGCAGCAGGCAGGTTTCTGTCTCTGTTTATCCAGCGGAAAAGGAAGTCTCTCCAGACGGCAATCTTGATGGAGTGGTGCTGAGTCCCGGCCACAGCCCTGGAGGGTGCCGTTGGCAGGGTTAGGACAGAAAGAGGAGGAAGGTTTGCCCACATTCTTCCCTGAGCAGGTGCCAGGATGAGTATCCTCCGAGTTAATCCCCCAGCACCCCCGGGCCTGGGGGGCTGTAGTTACCCCCCTGCAGGGAAGAGGATCTGTGGTTCAGAGGTCACCCGCTCAGTCAGCCACCCTGCTAAGCAAGTGAGAGCAGGCTCCAGCCCTGGGTGGGAGGTCGAATTTCCTCTGCAGACCTCACAGCCCCAGAGGCTCAGATAAAAACCTGACGCTCTGTCCAAGCACTCCTCCTGCCAGCTTCTCCCCTATAGCCTGGCACACGGCCCCTCTGCCCAGCCTCCTGTCTGTGTCATCCCCCTTCCCACGCTGGCACCCCATTTCCTACTTGCACCTCCTCCCTCCAGACCCTCGCTCATGCTGTGCTCTGTGTGGGGTCTGCGGGAAGTTCCCCATTCCTGAAAACCTCCTAGGAGGCAGTAGGAGCTGGTGGAGATACTCAAGAAATACTTGTCATCTGGTTGAATTTGGAGCCAGGAAACCTGGGCTCTGTTGGGTCTTATCACAAGCTGTGTGACCTCAGGCAGGTTAACCCACCTCTCTGAGCCCCATGAAATATATGAATTATCACATGAAATGCTGCTGCTCTCAAGGAAAGGGTGTCCTGGATGGGACTGGGGGTCCTGAGTGCTGGCAGGTGAGGGGTTGGGGGTCTTCCCTCCCATCTTACAATCGTGAGTTTTGAGTCCCTCCTGCCAGCTTGGTAAGATGCAGATTCTGGAGCAGAAATCCTGAGGTCTGGGGTCTTTATCATATGGGTGATGTGATTCCCTCGCAGCCCCGAGGCCTGCCCTCGGAGGGTCCCTGGGTGAGATGCCAGCCATGGAGTCTCTGAGGTGGGGTCTCCTGTGGTCTTGGGTTAAGAAGATAGACTAGCCCACAGATTGGCAGGCCTGGCAGGGCCAAAGACAGCTCCCAGAGACCCCTCCACTTCCCAGGCGGGGCCCCGAGGCCCAGAGGGCAGGGATTTGTCTGAGACCATGCAGCAGTTCCAGGACAAGCTGGGCTAACAACTCAGGACTCCCTGCCCAGGCCTGGTCGGGGGAGGTCAGGAATGTCCTCATCAGCCTTGACTGGCCATGCTCTCCACTCCACCCCTCCCGCCACTGCTGTCTGTGTCTCCCCACCTGTGTCTGAGTCTAGCACACAGCCGGTGTGAGCATTAGCACATGTGCCAGCTGTGGACACAGCTGGGAGAGCTCTTCCCAGCTGGGGTGTCCTGAAGACCCATCATCTGCGGGGGGAAGCCAGGCAGCTGCAGGGAGCAGTGTTCTCCAAGGGCCAACCTGGCAAGTCAGGCCCCCTGCTCTGGAACCTGACTTTGAGGACCAGGCCTTGGAGAAGAAAGGCAGGACCCAGGGCTGACCCCTCTCCAGGCCAAAGGGAGAGGAGAAGTCAGTATCCAGGATGGATCTGGGCTGGGCTCAGCAGGCAGGGTCTGGAAGGGGGAGGGTACACGCAGGAAGCCCAGGGGGACTCCCGGGGACAGAAAAGGGGGTACTGAATGATCACAAGCAGAAGCCCTGCCACAGCCCGCACACCCACCGAGCTACCTGTGCGTGTCTGTTGGGGAGACCCCTGCCCAGCTCCTGCCAGGACCTGTCCCGCTTCCGCCCCTCCACCCCACCTGTCCCGCAGCTTGGGTGCCCTGTGATATGGCTGAGTCTGAGCAGTCCCCCCACCATGAAGGCCCAGTGGCAGGACGTACACCTTGGTGTTCTCTCCCCCACCTTCTGCTGCCCTTCTTCAAGCAGCAGTGGGGACAGTGTGTGGACACCTGCTGGGCCTGACAGTGGAGAAGGGGAGGGAAACTGCACTGGGAAACCCTGGGGGCTCCGGAAAACAGGCGGGCTCCAGGCCCGCCCCAGCCACTGCCAGCTGGTCCCACTCAGCTGCTCCAGAGCCTCAGCGACTTCTCCTTTGCTTCACAAATAAGAACGTGGCAGCAGCTGAACCTGGCCAGAGCCTCTGGTCTGAAATGACAGTGTCCAGGCTTGCCGGCCTCAAGCCCACCCTCTCCCCACCCAAGAGTCATGCCCATAGATCTGGGAGGACTAGCTCAGAGCTACTCTAGGCTGGGACTGGAAGAGCCCCACCTCTTCCACCCGGAGGCCCTGAACACCAGAGTGGGGGAGGGCGCAGGGCAGGAATGGGAATGTGGGGAGACTGTCCCCCAGAATCTAAACTTAGGGCCAACCTGGGGGTTCTAGGCTCCTTTCGCCTCCTAGCTACTCTCCGCACAGGAATTCTGAGTACAGAGTTTCCATGTATCCAAAGGGTTAGCTTGAAAAAAAGAGACACCCTCCTTCTCACGCAAGAGGGAAGCTGGAACCTGGAGCCCCAGGGTGCCCTCCATCCAGCATTGGATGAGGGGGTGTCAGGCAGGATGAGGGTCTGGAAGGTACCCCCAGCCCCCAGGCTCAAGGACTGAGTGCCGCACCCAACATTAGATTACAAAGGTTTATTTAGAAAATAGTTTGGTTGTTTTGGCTGTTGTTTTTGGCAAACATTTAAATACTTTCAGTCATCAAAGATTGTCGGTGCTTTCTCCTTGCCCCCGCAGCCACCCCCCGACTAGGTCCTGGAGAAGTCAGCCCTTGGTCAGACGGGGATAGGGAGTGGTGGTGTGTTTGGGGGGCTCCTTTCTCGTCCATTTAGGGGGCTGCCTCTGCCACTGCTCTCTAAAACCCTGACCTCACAGCCACACCTCCGCAGGCTCCCCGGAGTTGGAGCTGCGGAGGGAGCCCCAGAAGCAGCTCCACGCTGAGGCGGGAAGGCAAAGGGGTCTCCCCCTCTCTCCTCCCCGCTCCCCGGAGCCTAGCTCCTGCCCTGGCGCACCCTCCCCTGCGCCCTGGAGGCCTATCCATCCCGGGCGCAATGGGAATGCTCCCCCGCCCGGCTGTCCCGTCCCTTCCGCCCAGCCCCGAGCGTGGCGCTAGCTGTCCAGGATCCCCGGGCCAGGCGGGCAAGACCGAGTCACTGCCTGAAGCCCCTTCTCCTCCGTCGGAAGAGGATGTGCTTGAAGGACCGCCGGAAGTCCTGGTTGAAGACCGTGTAGATGACCGGGTTGAGCGAGCTGTTGCAGTAGCCGATCCAGAAGAAGAACTTGAAGAGCGGGTCGGGCACCTGGCAGGCCTCGCGGCAGATGCCGTACAGGCTGTAGCTGAAGAAGAAGGGGAACCAGCAGAGCACGAACACGCCCATGACCACGGCCAGCACGAAGGTGAAGCGCTTCTCGCGCGCCTGGGCCACCTTGCGGCGGCACACGCTGCTGCGCGCCCGGCGCCGGCGCGACAGGAAGAACTCGACGGAGCGCGAGCTGGCGCGCGACAGGCGGCCGCCGGGGCCCGGGGACCTGGAGGCGGTCAGCGCCCCCGGCTCCGCCGCCGCTCCCGGCCCCGCCGCCTGCCCGTCAGCGCTGCCGCCCGCGCCCGCCTCGGCGCCAGCGCGCCGCCGCCCGCCCCGCCGCAGCGCGCCCCGGCGCCGCCGCCTCTCGGCCGCCGCGCTGCTCTCCTCCGGCTCCACGTCGGCCCGCGGGGGCGCGCAGTGCCCGTTCTCGCCCGCGCCCGCAGCCGCCGCGCCCAGCCCGTTCTCGGTGGTCGGGGACGCCCCGTCGGGGCCCGCGGGCGCGCGCTTCTCGCTGAGCGTGCGCGTGCGCAGCTTGGCCACGCGATAGATGCGCGCGTAGACCAGGCCCATGATGAGGCAGGGCGCGAAGAAGGAGCCGATGCAGGAGGACAGGATGTACCAGGTCTCGTCGTTGAGGCCACACTGCGGGTAGGCGGCGCCGTCGGGCTGGCGGTAGAGCGAGACCAGCGGCGGGAAAGAGATGACGGCCGAGATGAGCCACACGGCCACGATGGTGGCCTTAACGCGGCGCGGCGTGCGCTTCAGGTTGTACTCGACGGCCTGAGTCACCGACCAGTAGCGGTCCAGGCTGATGGCGCACAGGTGCACGATCGACGAGGTGCAGAATAGCACGTCGAGCGCCAGGTACACGCCGCACCACACCTGCCCGAAGTACCAGTAGGCCATGAGCTCGTTGGCCAGCGAGAAGGGCATGACCAGCGTGGCCACCAGGATGTCGGCCGAGGCCAGCGACACCAGGAACAGGTTCTGTGGCGCGCGCAGCGCCCGGCTGGTCAGCACGGCGATCACCACCAGCACGTTGCCGACCACGGTGAAGACGATGAGGAAGCCCACCACGGCCGCCAGCCCCGCCACCGCGCCCGCCGAGTACTGGCCGCGCGGCGGCCCCCAGGGAGCCCCCGAGGCGTTGGCGCCCGCGTCGCTAGCGTTGGGGCCCGCCGCCGCCGCCACCGCCAGCGCCGCCGCCAGCGCCGGGGACGCCATGGTCCTCCCGCGAGCTACGCGGTCCCTCCTGGAGCCGGGGCGCAGCCGCGGCAGCTCGGGCGCCCCCCAGCCTGGGTCCGCGCCGGCATCGCCGCCTGCTGCTCGGGCGCGCCCGCCGGGGACCGCGGCGCTCCGCAGCCGGCCCCCGGCCGTGGTGGCTCCGCGGGCGGCGCGCCGGAGAGCGTGGCTGCCGGGCTCCCCGCAGCTGCCGAGCGCGTAAGTGCTGAGCGGGAGGCGCCCGGAGCGAGCGGCGACGCGGCGGCGGCGGCGGGGGGAGGGGGGCAGGTCCCGGGGTCCTCGCGCGGCCCCGCCCTCGGCCCGGCTCACGGGGAGTGCCCCGGCGGCGAGCCCACGGCGACGCGGCGCCCGAGCGGGCGTGCCCGAGCGGCCCCGCGGCCCCGGAGCCCGGCCGGGGCGCAGGCGACAGGCGGCGGCGGCGGCCCAGGCGCTCCGCCTCCCATCCGGCCGGCTAGGGCTTGGCGCACCGGGGCGCGGGCCGCCGCTCCTCCGGGCCCCCGCGTCCGCGCGCTCCCTCCAGCTCCAACTTTACTTTCCCGGGCGGGGCGCCGGCGCCGCCGCGAGTCCTCCGGCTGCTACTCGGCGCGGGCACCCCCCCGCGGTCCACGCTCGGCCGTGCGGCCGCCGCCTCGCTCGCCGGAGCTGCGCCGCCGCCGCCCTGCGCTAGGCGCGAGTGCGGCCGCCCTGGCTCGGCTTCCAACTTGGGTCGAGTTGCGCAGCGGGGCGGGCGCGCGGGGCGGGGCGGGCCGCGGGCCCTGGGGAGCCGGCCGGGAGCCGGAGCCCGCGGCCGCCTGGGCGAACCTGCCCGTGCGGCGCGGGGGAGGAGTCCGAGGCGGCGGCGCGGGTCGCGCGCTCGGCGAGGGCGCCCCCTCCAGGGCCGCCTGCAGCCTGCGGGACGGGGCCGAGAGGCGGCCGGCCTGGGCGGTGAGTTCCAGAAGCTGCTCTTTCTAAGACGGGAGCCTCCTTCGCCTCCCCCGGCGCAGGCTTGGGCGCAGGCGGGGGCGCGCACACGCGAGCGCGCAGCTCGGGCGGCTCGGGGTCCATGGCCTGATGGCAGAGCAGCCTCTGGCAGCCTGGGGGAGGACGCGACGCTGCCTGGGTGCGCACGGGTCCTGCCGAGCTTAGGGTCTGGACCAGATCCTGGCTCGGCGCTCCCCGGCAGAGCCACCTCCGCACCCACCCCGGCCTCAGTTCCCTCGGCCCCCTTCCCAGCGCTGCTGGAGCATGAATCATAACTAGCGGCGGTGCCTGTGGAAGCCCTGGGCAAGCTCCCAGCCCTGCACCCATGTTAGCAGCGACTGAAGTTTCATCCTGATGCTCCAGGCCCTGCTTGTAAGGGATGGAGAGATGTTCGAGGTCGCCACCTCTGACACACCCAGAACCGTGCTGCCTGGATGATGAGCTTTTTGCAAGGGTGGGCTCGAGGGAGAGCGGCTGTTGAGATAGCCCCTGTGTACCCTCGCCTCTGTCCCTGCACCTCCATTCTGCAGATGTGCACTGTCACTCTGTGGCCCATGTTGGGTGCTGGCTTCTGTCTCCAGGCGGCCTGGGGTCTGTGGGAGAGGGACCTCCAGGGAGGAGGTGGTCCAGGAGGAGAGCTGGAATTCTCAGGCCTGACGTTTCTCTGCAAGGACCGAAGCGGTGATCCTTCCCCCAGCCGTCCAGGAACGCACCCCCCCGGCTGGACCCTCCCTGCATGGGCGTGGTGGAGGGAAGGAGGGAGGGAGGCTGTCCACCCTGTGGCTAAAGCTGGTGGGGAAGGGGCGGCTTCTGGGTGCCTAGGAGGTCAGCATGAGGAGGGGCTGGAGTGACTGCCCCCGCCCTCGGGATGCCTATCCGTGCCCGTGCACAGGGCCTGTCGTGTTCTCAGCTGTGCAGCTTTACCAGGGGATCTTGTCTGTCTCCGAAGAGACGCCGCCGGGAGCCATGGACTCCGTGTTGTCATCAGCAGGGCCTGCCCTGGGGGTGTGGAGGTCGAGCCCGGGTCAGGCAGAAAGCAAATATTTCAGATGATGGGCCTGCCCAGCAGGGGCGCACTTTGGAGCCAAAGCCTTCGGCGCCAGTCCTGTGCTAGTCTTGGGCACATATGCCCTTCGGGGAAGCAAAGGGCCATGGCTGTCCTGTGGGAAGTGTCTGCCCCGGGACGGTGGAGACTCACCATCCTTGCTAAAGGCCCTCCTGGTCCTGGAAGCCTAAGGTGCCACCTGTCCAGGGCACCTGAAGGTGCATTTTTCAGGGAAGCCCACACAGACCTGCTTCCTCCATGGTTGGCATGCTGGAGCCCTTGTCTCTGTTGAGCCCTATGAGATGGCAGAGTGAGGGGGGCCTGGCCTCAATGGAGGTGCACACCATCTGGGGTGGACAGTGCCACCCACGGAGATGAATGCACTGACAACCATCAATGCCCTGGGGCTCCTTCCCCAGCCTGGGAGCCAAGTTGACAAGGAAGGCTTCTGGGAGGAGGTGACCAAACTGTGCTTAGAGGATGAGGAAGTGGCAGGAGGAAGGGGTGGGCCCCTGTAGGCTGCGTTTCCTCCAGTGGGGGTGGGCTTTGTACTTGGGGCGTGGGGAGACAGGAAGACTCAGGAAAGAGCAGTGTCAGGGGCGGGATGCAGGCTTTGGAGAAGGCCTCTCTCCCTCGGCATCTACGTGCCCCAACCCGCAGCACGAGGGTCTCTCACTTTGTGAGAAGTGCTTTCGGGGACGCACAGGGGTAGGGGCATCTATCCAGGATCCTGGCTCCTGTGTTCCCAAGAAATGGCAGCCCAGGCACAGGAATTTGGAGGGAAGAGGGCACGGAGCACCTGGGGCCCTGAGCCAGGTGCTCGCTCCCACTGCTCAGGAGAGCTGAAGGCCTGGACCACTCACGGGCCAGGCTGAGGGCATCTGGAGTGCCTGGCCAGTGAGTGGCCTGGGCCCTTGGGGACGGCAGCCAGCATGCTGACATGCTGCTGGCAACATCGCCTGGCATGATCAGGGAGGGGCAGAAGGGTCCACTCCAGGGCCTGGATGGAGCCCAGGGGCAAAGAGCTGGACCCAGAACTTAGGGGAAGTGAAGCCCTGGGCCACGCAGAGGGGTTGCAATGCCCGCAGGCCTGCCTGTGGTGGGAGGCCCTGGGGCCTGCAGGGAGCTGGAGAGTCCTCTTAACCCAGACATTGAAATCAGGCTTGAGGAACTGCTCCAGATTGTCCATAGCAAGCAGAACAGCGCACGCCCAGCAAGACTTCCTGTCCTGAAAAGGCATGATAGGGCACCACCAGGAGGGGTGATGAGGGAGGGTGCTGCGGGGGGTCGGGCTGCACTGGCGGGGGCTGCAGGGGCTGTCTGTGTGCACATGTGTAGGGGCTACACTGGGGGAGGGGGCACATTTCAGAAGGGAAACCTAGAAGTGTTTCCTACAACTGAGAACCTACAAGTGATGCGTCCTGGAACTGTAGAGGTGAACCTGCCTGTATCTCACCCGTGATGCATGGGGACAAGGTTGGTCCAGCCAGGGCCATATAGTCGTGGGACATTGGGCCCTGGCTGCTGTGCCAAAGAGAGCTAGGGACCAGGCAGGCTGTGGGTGGGTCCTCTGAAGGGATGTGGGTGCACACCTACTGGGTGCCTGCCTTGCCTGGGATGCTGCGCTCTGGGTTTCCTGAGCAGGCTCAGCTCGGGTGGAGGGGAGCTTGGCTCCTTGAGGCCCCTCCCTGCACGTACAGGCAGTCATGCACATGCACACAAGTACAGCGTCCACACGTGTCCACACATCCGTGTGCACACAGATAATGCACACACATGAATACACATATCAAGGCATGCATGTGTGTATACACACATCTATGTGCATGCAAGCTTGAACACCCATGCATACACATATCTGCACATGCGTGCAAGCATGCAAAGCTATTCATGCACATGCATGCCTTCACACCCAAATGCTTGCACACACCCACAGTCTCCACACACCATGTGTTATACATGCATCCATACATAATCTACACACATGTATGCACATGTACATGTTCACACACATGCATGCCTTCACACCCAAATGCATGCACACACCCACAGCCTCCACACACCATGTGTCATACATGCATCCATACATAATCTACACACATGTACGCACATGTACGTGTTCACACACATGCATGCCTTCACACCCAAATGCATGCACACACCCACAGCCTCCACACACCATGTGTCATACATGCATCCATACATAATCTACACACATATTCACATGTACATGTTCACACACATGCATGCCTTCACACCCAAATGCATGCACACCCACAGCCTCCACACAGCATGTCATACATGCATCCATACATAATCTACACACATATGCACATGTACATGTTCACACACATGCCTTCACACCCAAATGCATGCACACCCACAGCCTCCACACAGCATGTCATACATGCATCCATACATAATCTACACACGTATGCACATGTACATGTTCACACACATGCCTTCACACCCAAATGCATGCACACCCACAGCCTCCACACACCATGTGTCATACATGCATCCATACATAATCTACACACATGTATGCACATGTACATGTTCACACACATGCATGCCCTCACACCCAAATGCATGCACACACCCACAGCCTCCACACACCATGTGTCATATATGCATCCATACATAATCACACATGTATGCACATGTACATGTTCACACACATGCATGCCTTCACACCCAAATGCATGCACACACCCACAGCCTCCACACACCATGTGTTATACATGCATCCATACATAATCTACACACATGTACGCACATGTACATGTTCACACAGATGCATGCCCTCACATCCAAATGCATGCACACACCCACAGCCTCCACACACCATGTGTCATACATGCATCCATACATAATCACACATGTACGCACATGTACATGTTCACACACATGCATGCCTTCACACCCAAATGCATGCACACACCCACAGCCTCCACACACCATGTGTTATACGTGCATCCATACATAATCTACACACATGTACGCACATATACATGTTCACACACATGCATGCCTTCATACCCAAATGCATGCACACACCCACAGCCCCACACACCATGTGTCATACATGCATCCATACATAATCTACACACATGTACGCACATATACATGTTCACACACATGCATGCCTTCATACCCAAATGCATGCACACACCCACAGCCTCCACACACCATGTGTCATACATGCATCCATACATAATCTACACACATGTATGCACATGTACATGTTCACACACATGCATGCCTATGTTTGCACACACGTCCATGTACTAGTCACATGCAGGTGCACACACATGCACATGCACTAACATACATGCTTTTCGCGCACGTATCTCTACACATGGATGTGCACCACACTGGCATATGTAGACAAATATGTGCACACACCTGTGCTACTGCCTGCAGGCACACCCTTGCTTGTTCGGATACACACATACATGCACTGCACACGTGTGTGCCTGTGATGAACACATCTGTCCCCATGCACACGTGAGTTTGCATATATGGATGTGCACACACATGTAGCACATGTGAACTTGCCTACCCTTCTAGGCTGAGGAGATGTATTTCTGGGTTGCGGCTGCAGCCAGCTCTTCCGGGCATGTGGCTGGGTTCTGCGCCCCCCCGCCCCCGCTGCTGGTCTGCGCAGCTCCACCTGTCTCTTGCAGTCAGCCCTCCCTTCCAGGCTGAGGCCCCTTGTCTACCCACTGAGGACCCTGGGCCTGGGCATGTGCTGTCCACAGGCCTGGACGCGCTCTGCCCATCTTTCCTAGGGCTCCCTCAAGACTTGTCCTGTCATGTTCCTCCAGGAAGCCTCCTTGACCTCCCAGACTGGGTCTGGGCCTCTTTTGCTGGCCTCTTCATGCCCTCGGGGATGTGGCCATCATCAGTAACGATGTGCTCAACTGTGTCCTGTCCCTACTGCCTGGTCCAGGGCCGGGCTGTCAGCTCACAGAAGGAACTTGATGAAAGCCTGGTGGTGGGATGGCTTCCGGCCTGGCTCCAGCCTCAGCCGCACTGATGCTTGCTGGGTGCTGAGTGCAGGGGCTGCCTCCACCCGGTGGCTGCCTGTGCCAGGCCCCAGTGCCCCTGGCCAGCAGGCCCTTTTCTTGGCTCCATGGAGTTTGGGGTCATCATGTGGCTTTAAGCTCCTGCTGATTCCCTTACTTATTGTCTGGCAATGGGGGAGCCTTATGGCTTCCAGAGCCTCAGTTTTCCCTGTTTGTAAAATGGGAACATTGG